TCATTGTCAGTCGCCAATATTTCTCGATAACGGTTGTCAATAAACTTTTGCTTGCAATTTTATTTATTTTAACAATTTCGACAGTACTCTACCTGTTTATCAGCTTTGACTTCTCACTGATATTAGTAACTTAGCTCTGAGGCTGAGATTTTAATCGACAGTTGGGCAGTGGAACGGAGTTCTACTTATAGTGGAGAATTCAGTTAGATTGGATTAACTTAATAAAACAACACAACAAACATGGAGGGAAGTACCGACACCGGGCGTTCTCAATGCAAATATCAACATTCTGGTCTGATAGAAATAATCGGCTTTGCAGACCGAGCCTCTTTATTTAGCCCATTTGGCTAAAAGTGCGGCTAAACGTACGATTTTAACGCAAAAAAATATTTGTTACTTTCAGAATAACAGTTACTGCACAAAAGTTGGGGCTTTCGTTTCTGCCTTAGTAGCATATTCAGCGAACTAAAATTCGCCTGGTAGCAAATCATTGTGCTCGCGGTTATGATATTAACTGTTAGCGTCACTGCCATAGCTCGAAGGCGAGTTTGTAAAACCCCATAGTAAGATCTACCTTTCCACTAGACATATAAACTTGAACCAAGCATACATAAATATTAGGTGAGCTCTTAAGAACGTGGGGACTAAAACATCCATAACTTCGGAGCCGATCAACATATTCAGTCGTAATATTCACGGTTCGGTCTGCAACATTAAGTCAACAATGATTTTGACTTACACCTTATTTATAATCGAAATGGTGGGTTGGGTAGGGGGGGAAGGGGGCCGGGGGGAGGGGGAGGGGGAGATGGAATTCAGCTCAAAACATAATCTGGTCCCTGATTTATCAAAGGAAGTGGGTTATGGTATTTACTTTTGAACTCAAAATCCCTTCACAGAGAAATGATCACACAAAGCATCTGCAGGCACCAATAGAATCGGTGTCGATTAAAACTTTCTCAAAACACCCTAATGCAAACATCAAATAGGAAGAGAAGAAAAGTGTGTCCTCCAATCTCACCAACACTCCTGTTTATCAGACAACCAACTCATCACTTTCTATGTATCGTGAGACATCGGAAGTGGGAGACGTGCATTGACAGCTCCCAGTCGAATGACGATAGACTCCAACGTCCTCAATTCTCTTACATTCTTATGGCAGAGAGGATTATATTTGGAACTCCACAGCTTCACAACCATGCTAGTTCCAAATTCGTGATAAAAAAAAGTTACTCTCAATACCAGAACCTTAACAATGCTGTGAAGAGTTGAACCAGAATGAGCAGCAAGAGACACAAAAACGAACGTATCTCAACCATATTATTACAATCGCAGTAAAAGTATTCGTGGAACGTTCAGACATGGTTAAGCTCCATTTCGCTCAGGCGGCCCGCACATATGCACAAAACCACCCTCCAACTTTCTCGCGATCACTAACACCATCGAACATAATTGTCAACAATTATGTACCTACTAAAGCTTTCATTACGTTTCCCAATACCAAGATCCAGACTTTACATCTACTCCCACGTTACTAGTCAACATTATGCATCAATATAATAACATGCCATTTCATTATATGCAATTGCATGAGTACACATATCCAAAATCAACACTAAGCTTTCAAAAAGCTACGGATGAATGAATGAACGAAAAGCTAAAATAAATCTTAAAAGTATTTCCACCCCGATCTTGATCATAGCACATATATTTAAATCACGGAATCAAAGCAAACGCGAAAAATGGGTAAACGAGTCATGAGTCTTGGAAATTAACATGAATATATCAGACACGTCATTTTATTTTCCATAAATTTATTTCAAATTTTACACAGCATCCACAACCGGCGGCTCGTAGTTGTCAGGTCTAGAAACACCTTCTCCGAATTCATCTGCCTTTGCATCGCCTCCATGGATTTCCATTAAGCGTCCAACTAAATGTGGGTCTCAATATTATCAAAAACAAACTTACTATCGAGTTTGGGCTTCTTTAGCACTTTCACCTTCCTCACATACGCCCCACTGAGTGGGAAGATGGCAGAAGCCTCTTTGAAGGCATCCTCACCTATTGAATCGGGGACACTAAACAGAACATGAGATAATGAATTCTACTCACAGCTTCTTAACAACGCCCTGGAGGTCGCATCGAGCTACCTCACGCTGAACAACCTCCACAATTTTTGCCCGAAGCTTTTTTATCCTTGTTGTCTGGGCGTAGGCGTGACACTTCTGATGCTCCTGCTTCTTTGTGAACGCAATCACAAAGAATCTAAGTGCATAGCCGTCAGTGGTTTTGACGTCAACGTGAGCCTCGATGGTCGATTGCCATTTCAACACGAGACTGCACAGCTTGTCACGCGTGAGGTCCATACCATGAAAGTTTGTGAGGCACTTGGTGCCTTGCACATCCTCAACCTGGAGTTTAAATTTTCGAAAGACGTCTTGATTTTTGTCATTTAAATCCCCCAGGCTCAATTGGATCACACGACCCTTGAGACCCTCACTGGCAATTTTTGTACCCTGAGTTCTAGTGATCAGGGTACGAGCGCAAGTCCTCTTCGAGAAAACTGCAGGAGCGCGCAACTCATACCATTCCTTTTTAGAAAATGGATCGGTACTAAAACAAGAAATAATAATGCAATATAAACCCACGTCTTCTTCTTTCCCCCCTTCTTAGGGCCCTTCTGACCTTGCTGCTTAGATGGCGCCATAAAAACACGATAATCAGAGCTAATAAGTGTGGAGCGGTCAGTGGCTAAAGTGCGTTTTAAACAATCAACCTTGGCTTATTAAATTAAGCCCGAAATAATCTCCATTCCCACTGATAAAATATTATATAACTATTTTTCCTCCATTTTTATTACAATGATGCATTGATCATCTGAAGTTTTGTGTGAGCTTTTTCTTAAAAAAAGCACATTATCTTGGGTTCTACTGGTGCTTGAATCCGAATCTTGGAAACCATGCATTTGACAATCAAGTGACATTTCACCATTCGCAATTTAATACATAATAATTGCGTTTAAATTATCTTGCTTATTTCTTACGGAATGATTTTATTTATTGTTGGTAGTTGTGACTATTGCCAGATAATAATTGCATTAGTTCATAAAAGATCTTTGATGAAATATATCACTATATTAACTCGACATCATTCTCTTTTTCCCCCAAATTCCTCGCTTATCTTATTTTCGTATTAAATTGTAAAGCGAAAATTAAATAATGACTTTTTTGCACATTATGCAATTTTCGAAGTTCAATCTTAGTATGCACGGACTCGTTAATTTATAATAATGTAAATGTTAAAAAAGGAATAGGTGGAAATGAAACTTGGGAATCATCCAGTCACTCTGAATTTTTTCAATTTTAAATATAATTTAATTGCTTTAGTTGCACTTAAGAGAATTATGCTTGAATTTATTTCCCTACATTAAATTCTTTACGCTGTTACTTAGCTGCATATCCTTGCATGGTTAAGACAAAACTACTGTGAAGCGTACCTCGAGCAAAGCTACCTCGCTAGGTGGAATATTACAAGTGCTTGGGTGCTGACCGTCGTGGTCTTACATGCCGACCTTCTCAGCAACTTCGAAATTAATATTTACTTCAATTTGCATTAGGGATGTGTGATAGACTTACCTCCACGTGGTGCTCCATGGGCATCCTATTTTCATACGGCTACTTCTGACTTCAAACTATCATGAGCCCACTGTTTGTCATATTCCACCACTTTCACAATATACACAATGATTTTTCTTTGTCATTGTGTCTGTCTGTCTCTTTTACATCTATGAATCGCTCTTCTGTTCTCTCTCTCGACATTTTGTGACTCTGCCTGTTCCTCCCCTCTGTGAAGTCCGAATTCAACTAGAGAGCTATTGATGACCATCAAACCACCCGCCGTTTGAGATAAATAAACTTCAATTTGCTTTTCAAGCTTCGTTTTAAAATTGGCCATATTTGCAACTTAAGGCAATTCACCTCATTCCTCATATTTCCTCGTTAATGTTGATGCAATGGAACTCAATTTCGGTAAAGCTCGATTCTGGATTATTGTTGAGAGTGTCTTAAAGGATTATTTATGACAGGAACGGTTATAAAATAGGTGACATTCTCTCCACTGTCATTTATTTGTGTAACTTAGACAAAGTTCTCCAAAATACCATATATAGTGGCTATTCCATTATACTAACAAACTTTTGCAAACCTAAATCATATCTCTCAGTGAAATTCGAATTTCGTAATTGACTATCCACATATATTTTACTCAAAATTACAAGCAATGGTACAACTACCTTTATTATTGTGACCAATCAATACATTTAAAAGATTCTCAATTTTATAATGATAGATATATGACAACTCATAACTTACATTTCTGATGAAAGTCCTATGAGCAAAAACAGCAACCAACAACAGTTTGTTTGCCAAATACCACTTCTTCAAATTTTAATAATGTCATTAGTCATTTCCATCGGAAAATAAAACGTTCCACATCTCTGCATGTAAATAGTTTTTGAAGTCAGAGAATTTTAAAAATTCAAATTTATGTGTTGTTTATTAAGCGCACCATATTTTATAAAAGTAACTTCACTACATTATTGTAATAGTTGAATTCAAATGTCAGCAATTTGTTAAAAGTAACCAAATTGCAAGGTTGCTGCAGTGGCAAATTTTTGGAATACAGTTAGCTCATAGGTCATATTTTCATTTCTTCTCGTGGGCCTGGAATTATAGCCATTTTGGTGTCTAATTAATATGACTATTAATACGTACATATATGATATGCGACCTCATTTCTTGCAAATTCTATCATACTGATTTATCTCACTATCCAATAACATTTTCTCCTTCATTTCAATATTAAACCAGTGCTCAGTTTTGCTTTACCATTCAATTTCCTACTGCGTTGATTCATATCTGAATTGTTGCTTTTACTGTAACAGCTGAAATTCTACTGTGTTATTGAGAGCTCATAATTTTCATTTGGAGCGGATTGTTACACGAATTGGTATTTAGAAGGCATGACGTTGAGTACGGCTAACGAGTTTGCGATGATTACGTGATACGTATCCCCACCATTACTGTTGGTAACCTTTACGCATTAAACACGGTTTTGGGTATGTAAGCTCTGCAATGACCCTTGTCTAGAGGTTTGTAGCGGATTGCTACGCTAGTAAAGCCTGACCTAATTCTCAGGAACCTTTTGGGCAGATTCTCCTAATTACTGAGTCTCCAGAAAGAGACGTATCACAGAAACGTTTATTCACCAGATAAGGATAGCAAAATGTGTTTTTGGCAAAGCGATTAGTTATCAGATAAGTCTAGCATGATTCGCATGAATATTAATAGCTAAATATTTGTGAGTAAAGTTCTATAGCAGGATTTCTATTTGAACGTTGATGAAGAGTCCCACAGGTTTCTGTATTCCTCAATTTCTGAACTGATTTCAACGCGACTAACTAAACTTGGCCAATGTGACAACCAATGTAGTCATAATTGATCTGCTCTTCTAGGAATCAGAATTATCTGGCCTCATTTCATTGTCTCAGTCGCCAATATTTCTCGATAACGGTTGTCAATAAACTTTTGCTTGCAATTTTATTTATTTTAACAATTTCGACAGTACTCTACCTGTTTATCAGCTTTGACTTCTCACTGATATTAGTAACTTAGCTCTGAGGCTGAGATTTTAATCGACAGTTGGGCAGTGGAACGGAGTTCTACTTATAGTGGAGAATTCAGTTAGATTGGATTAACTTAATAAAACAACACAACAAACATGGAGGGAAGTACCGACACCGGGCGTTCTCAATGCAAATATCAACATTCTGGTCTGATAGAAATAATCGGCTTTGCAGACCGAGCCTCTTTATTTAGTCCATTTGGTTAAAAGTGCGGCTAAATGTACGATTTGTCACTTTCAGAATAACAGTTACTGCACAAAAGTTGGGGCTTTCGTTTCTGCCTTAGTAGCATATTCAGCGAACTAAAATTCGCCTGGTAGCAAATCATTGTGCTCGCGGTTATGATATTAACTGTTAGCGTCACTGCCATAGCTCGAAGGCGA